AGCAAAAAATTGATTTACTACTCTACAAGCTTCATCAACTCGAGTTCTTGTTTCACAAGATTTTGCTTTATCTAGCAATTATCTTCCAACTTCTCCTTCAAGAACATCATGTTTTTGTTGCCGACATATTACGGTAAAAGATTAAAGCAAGTTTGGCAGTACTTATAATCCAAGTTTTCATGATATTAATAATTTTAGGATGAGGGACAGCAATTTATAGGACATTTGATAATTATTTTAAATGTGGTAAGTTTCTTTACAAATGTTTAAATTGCTAAATTATTTTATGATAATAATTTTTAAATTCAATTTCTAGAATAAATTATATTTAGATTATTGCTGGTCTCCTTGTAGTTTTAAAGGCCTGTCAATGGTATAGGAAGAAGCTAACACAGACCAACGATGACATAGAATTAATCTTGATCAACATTTTAGAAGAAGCTTAATATTGTATTATTTTAACCCAAAAAATTAACAAATGTTGTGTTATAAAATAACATAATTTGCTATTTTTAAAATGGGAATTTTTAGCTTAACGAATCTAACTTTAAAATATCAGAGATTCGCCCAATATCAAAAATCAAAGATATAGGAATTAGCTAATTTGAGTTTGAAGACCATTTTAAACCTTATAATGAAAACGACTGTATTTCAAATTTTTTTTTTTTTGGGAAACCTTGTTGTGTCTTATAGCAATATTTATCGCTTTATGTCAAATGGAATGTTTAATAAATTAAAATTCTGACAGCTTTAGTATTTCTTTAATAGAAAACATGATAAAAAATAAAATTTGCATCTGTATACGTCAAAAGTGATGTTTAACAAATAAAAATCTGACAACTTTTTATTATTCCATTCATAGAAACATTTGTGAGATCTTTTTTATTTGTTTGATCTGTCTGTCTGTCTACCTATCTTTTCTTCTCCACTCTTGTTCTCAGCTCAGTTTCATTTGCCATAATACTTTTGCCATAATTACACTTGCCATAATACTTTTGCCATAAGTAACACTTGCCATAAGTTACACTTGCCATAATTACACTTGCTATAATTACTTTTGTCATAATTTTCTAATTTCTAAAAATATGAAAATCTGTCTTTTTTCCCATGAAAATTCCCGACTGTAGATTTCTCATTGTTTTAAAGCAGAATAGTTGACACAAGTTCAGCTCCACATTTTCTCACAATGGAGGACCCTTTGGTAACCTTTGAGACCACAAATAAGGGTAAACCAATGGTTCGAGACAGCAACAACTACACCTATGTAGCCAATGCCTCGTCTACAGCAGTGAAATATTGGAAATGTTCGGTTAAAATGTGCTCTGCTAGAATTCGAACCCGAATTTCTTCCTCAAACCTGATTGGAACTATACTACCCAAGCATCTTAATGAAAACAGACTGCTAAAACAGGCCATCAGGAAGCAGGAGAATAGCATTATCAAGAAAATGGCCAAAGTAGATGGTATATCAAACACAAGAGTTATATCTGAGATAACTTCTAATATCCAGAGATCAGACATCCCAAACCTCATATGTGGCATGAGATCAAAGAATGAGTTGAAGGATGCCCTCTGGAGAGAGAAAAGAATAGTAAACCTTACACCTGCCATCCCAAAGACTGGAGATTTTGCTTCATTCATGACTACCAATTTTCCTGGAAAGTTCTCGAATACCAATGATGGTAAAGATTTTCTAAGACTTTAAAGTTGGACCAATGAGGATGAGAATGAAGCTGTACTCGTCTAAATAAGTGAAACTGGTGCACAGATACTGAGAACTCATAAGATTTGGTGCATGGATGGAACCTTCCGGACCACTCCTTCCCCTTCAGTCAAGTATACATAGTTATGGCTAGATCTGAAGTAGGTGGGCAAGGACTTGCATGTGGTTTCAGACTTTTGACTAACAAAAACGCTGAAACTTATAGTCTGATGCTCAACAAGATTTTTGCCCTGGTTGGCAATGATAATACTCTCTCTGTTACTGTATGTGATTTTGAACAGTTTGTTTGGAAATCTCTTGCTGTTGTAGCCCCAACAGTTAGTAGACAAGGCTGCCAATTCCATTACAGGAAAGCTCTTAGCAGGTTAGGCGATTTGGGACTGAAAGAATTTTTCAACAGGGACGTAGAGTTCAATGAATTAGTGCATAAAATTTTTTCCCTTGAGCTATGTACCTGTAGAAGATGTGGTCAAGGTTTATAAAGAACACATCGTTGCTGTAATTGAATAGAAAATAGAGAATGATGAAACCTGGAATGAAGGATCTGAAGAGCTTTAAGAAGAGTATTTGAAATACATGAACCGGACCTGGATTGGCAAGGTGGGTTTGGCCAGAACCGGGAGAAGAACTGGTAGACGACCTTTGCCCATGACATGTGGAATGTGTATTCAGATATATTGGAAGAGGATCCAGTGGTGACAAACAATGGACTGGAATCCTGGAACAGAACCTGGAACCAAGAAATGGGCATAAACCCAACATGTGGAAAATCATACAAGGTTTTGTCAATCAAGAGTCTGAGACAAAACAGATCATAGTCTCCAATGCTGCAGGGAGGGATATGAATACAAATATGGGGAGAAAGAGCTTAGTGAAGAGTCACTCTGAGAGGATTGCAGACATTGTCCAACAGTACAATACTCTTCCCATAGAAGAGTACCTAAACCTGATAGCTCATGAACTGTCTCTCCACTAGCTTTGTCATTTGTATTCTATTTGTGATTGTAAAAGAAAATATAAATATATATGTATGTTAATTCAAACCAAATTTATTTTAATTATGGCAAGAGTAATTATGACAAGTGTAGTTATGGCAAGTGTAACCATTATGGCAAGTGTAACTTATGGCAAGTGTGATTTATGGCAAGCGTTACTTATGGCAAATGTATTATGGCAAATGTAATTATGGCAAAAATAATTATGGCAAATGGAACTGAGCCCTTGTTCTCTTATCTCTTTTCTTCTCTTCTGTTCTCTTATCTCTTTTCCTCCCTTTTCTATTCTTCTGTTTTCTTATCCCTTTTACTCTCTTTTCTATTCTTCTGTTCTCTTATCTATTCTTTTCTCTACTCTTCTTTTATCTCTTATTTCTTTTCTTTTCTTATTTTTTCTTCTATTCTATTTTTCTCATCTTTCATATTCTTCTGTTCTTTTATCTCTTTTCCTCTCTTTTCTATTCTTCTGTTCTCTTTTCTCTTCTTTTCTTTACTCTTCTTTTATCTCTTATTTCTTTTCTTTTCTTATTTTTTCTTCTGTTCTATCTTTTTCTTTTCTTTACTACTCTTCTGTTCTCCTATCTTTTCTTCTCTTCTCCTCTGTTCTCGCTTTTCTTTTCTGCTCTTCTGTTCTCTATTTTCTTTTCTACGCTTTCTCTTATCTGTTCTTCTCTACTTTTATCTCTCCTTTTTTCTCCGGTTTTCTGTACTCTTATCTCTTTTCTTTACTCTTCTGTTCTCTTATCTCTTTTTTTCTATTTTTGTTCTTTTTTCTTCTGTTTTCCTATATCTTTCTACTCTTCTCTTATCTCTTTTCTACTATTATCTTAAACACTTTGTAGTACTATCTGTTATGATTTTTACCTGCTGTGTTTACATTTTTTAGCTTGTAGACCGAAATGAATCGTACTGCTTTTGCACACCCATAAATAGGCATTGGAACATTTAACCTTTGATATTTTGATATTTTTCCTTTGAGTCGTATAAAGCTTTTGAAGAATCTGTAAATCATAAGTTTGAGCGCTAATTCAAGGCTAAATATTAGGCGGTGAATAAGTTTTTAAATTAGTAACTAACAACGAGATAAATGTAAAAATATCTATAATCAACTAATTAGTTGATTAGGAACCGGAGGCGAAAATAAATATAGGTGAAAGAAGAATTCTGCTGCATACTTAGTTTAAATATCTTACATATCTGATCATTCTAGTACATTAATCCATATCTCAACACCAGTGAAACAGTAAAGGTTTCAAATCGGAATGCTGTTCTGAGGAATTATGAAATTTGCACATGTTAAATTTATATATTCTCAACACAGAAAATCCGTGTTAGTTATTCCTAGAGCATGTCTACAACGGGAATTACAATGGCCTGGGTAAATAATTTAATTTATTTTTAGTCTAAAAAAAAAGCTCTCTGTCCCTAAATTGTCTTAACCTAACCTAACCTACCCCAAAATATTGAGAGAGACAGCATATTATTTAGCATTTAATAGTCTGCAGCACTCGGGCCCCTAGCCCCTTCTAGCAGCAGCGCTCAGTCCAACCTAACCTAAATAATGAGAGCAACAGCACATTATTAAACTTTTAATAGATCACAGCGCTCGGTCTAGAAATTGTCTTAACCTAACCTAAATAATGTGAGTAACAGCAAATTGTTAAACATTCCATTTAATTTTTCTTTTATCAACAAATTGTCAATTTTTGTAGTTACTTTTATTACCAAAGTGACACTTTTTGTAGTTACCAAATTGGTACTTTTATGACGTTACAATTTTGTCATTATTAAATTGACACTTTTGAAAGCTAACCAAATTGGCATTACCACATTGTCCTTATTAAAATTGTCACCTTACCAAATTTTCATTATCTAATTATCATATTATAATTATCAATTATCAATTATCATGCTATAATCATCATTTTGCTCTCTGAAAACTGAGCACCAAAGTTCAACATGTTAGTTTTTCTAATAATTAAACTTTCTCTCTTAAAATTGAAATGTGAAAGTTGAGTGTACAATATTATGTTTTGACACTTTCTATTTCTAAAAAGCTGAAATGAATTTTCTTATTGAAATGCTCTCATTTAGTTTCTCTCTGTAAGTTGAATACATAAAAAAGTATTAAATTCAGTGCCCTAAGAATTGTTGTACATTATGAAAATTGATAACCTAAATATGTCTACTTAACTTCATATATGTCTACTTCATTAGATCTTTCATTTCTGTGCATGAAAGCCATCTGATACCGTGTAATAAGGATATTCTTGCAGGGAGAGGATAGTGGAGAGAAGGTTGGAGAGGAGTTGGAGGACCTAGAAAGAGAGGAGGGCGGAGGTCGTGCGCTGCAGTGGCTAGGAGGAGGGGTGGGTCGACGGGAGGGTCAACTCAAGCTCTTGAACTGGTAATGGGCCAGATAATGGCTGCATATCAGATGCACCAGGATTATAACTATTAGTTAGTTTACTTGCACCTATAGCTGTATGTCTCCGCACTAAATAATTTATTATTTTCAGATCATGCAAATTCAAAGCTAGCAAAAATGGATTGAAGAAGATGATTGAAGATCAAGCTGAAGGGATTAAAGGTAGATTAAATCAAAAAAATCACACAATCCCCTTTAACAAAACTTTCATCTCAAGAATTTAATGTGCTTGTTCTGGGTTTTTTCACAATATTTTTTAACAGTACATGACATGGTCTCAAAATTGGTGCTATGGTAACGCCTCAACACAGAATCAGACCCAATAAAAACAGAAACCTTCCCAAAATGAATTTTTTTGAGGCGTTTCCTGTTTTTTCAAAAATGATCGGAAATCGTTCAAATCCAAATTTTAGAGGAATTTCCCTTTGTTTTTTATCTGTTTCCTCAATTTATAGGGTCTTTTATTGTCGAGGGATTTCCCAATATTTTCGATCCTTTTCCTCATTTTTTGGGTCCGTTTCCGGTTTTCAGAAAGTTTTAAATTCTCAGTAAGTAAAATTTGTACGTTGAAATATTAGCTAAAAACTTCAAAAAAATTCCCCTTTTTTGTAACCTTGACAAATATATTCCTTGTTCTACCGTAAACAAAAACCAATAAATTTGCGTAGCTAAGTGTATGATTTTACGCAAAATTTATGTAAAAATGTGAAAAGTGACACTTAAATTGTGCTCTTTTTGCGCAATTTGGCTAGCTGGGCAGTTTTAGTTTTTCTTCATTGCAAACCAAGTTTGGTAAGATTTTTCAAAACTCTGCATATTTGTAATAGTACAGTCAGAGCTTTATAAAAATGGAAAAGTTTGTCATGTTATTACAATTTCAATTTTTTTTTTGTTTACTTTAAAAAGTTGTAAAGTACCTCAGCCTGAGGAGGGAGGGAATCCCCAGACACCATGAGCCTCCACTATGCAGACATGAGCCTTCCAGTAATTTTAGGCAGATCGAGCCTTAACTATGCAGACCAGCCTTAACTATGCAGATCGAGCCTTAACTATGCAGACCAAGCTTTAACTATGCAGACCAAGCCTCCACTATGCAGACTGTGCCTCTGCTATGCAGTAAATAAGCATACACTCTACAGCACAGCTTTTCAAAAATCTTGGTTTTTATTTGTAATCAAAAATGTTAACAATTTTTTTTTGACGTAGTCGCATAAGAATTTTACTAAAGATTACAAATTTTTTGATTGTCATGATTAGAATTATAAATGAACTCTTAAAGTGGTTTATAAGATTTATACTAAAACTTTATAAATTTCTTACGCAGAAAGGAAGATATTTGGATAAATATTTCTTGAGTAAACTTAGTTTGTTTTGTTATAATCTTTGATTTAATCGATACCTTTTTTGAAGAATGTTAAGATTTAAAAAATTTAAATTTAAAAAATACAAATTTTCTAGACTTAGTTGAACTACAAAAAAGCAGTGCTTAGGATCCAATTAATTTTGATGCAGATCCATATCCGGATCCTGGATCCACACTGGAAAAAAATGGATCTGGATCTGGATCCAGGTCATTTCTATATGATATACAAGTAATAAAGGTTTTTTTGCAGTTTTTGGTTGATATTTTAGGGTCTGGATCAGTTGACCCGCATATTTTTGTGGATCCGGATCCTAAGCACTGCAAATAAGGTATGACTTAAATCAAAGATTATAAAAGATGAAATTCAATTCAATTCAAATTTTTTTCTCTAAATATTTTCCTTATCGTTTAAAAAATGTTTAAGTTATTACCACTTTATTAGTCATAATTAGGTGCTATTTGTGCTAATTGATAATAACTTATCATTTTTTAAAAATCTCTCATGCCACTTTGTTGAATAATTTGTGAAAATCTTATAATTAAATTTAACACGCAATTTTATAAAAACCTCCTGTATTATACAGGTACATTTTGATGTATTGCGTATGCCTAATACTGCATAGCTGAGGCTCTGTCTGCTTTGCAAATCTGGGAGGCTTGTGTCTGCATAGTGGAGGCTCATGGCGTTCAGGGGTTCCCTCCCTCCCTTTAGTCAGCAGTCACCATATCTCGCATAGCTTGAGATGATGAAGTGAAACCACAATCATAAACAAAAATGTTAGTTTAAAAAACTTGTCATTGAAACACTAATGTCACGAACTATTAATGGGGTTTTAGCACTCCGTAGCAATGAAATCAAACCAGTAAATCTTGCTTTATGAATAAAAGTTAGAGATCATCATCAGTTCATATCGAACTGGATCTTGGTAGATAACCTGCTTTCTCATCTTTGGAAGATTTGGGATCCTATATCCAGGAAATGATTTCTTCTGTAATAATTTTACTTTAATACCCCTGAAAAAGTGTTTTTGAAAATAATTTTATAAAATTATAATTATTTTTTTTATAATTTTCTTTAAGTGACTTATTCTTCTCCATTTGAAGGACTCAAATGCAGATAAAAAGCTCCCCTGATGACAGTTGGCATATTAGTACCTGAACCATATCTGGAAAATCTTGCCAACAAAAAATTACTCTCAATCTAAAATCTGAACTATTGAAAAAGAGTTATTTCAGATATGTCCAAATTTCTGAATGATAAATCAAGGTTTAGCAAAGACATAAAACAAAAAATATAATAATCTGCTTTATTAAAAAAAATTCAGTAAATTTAATTTTAACAAACCAACCTGAGCAAGTTCATAATAACATGATTAAATTTATATTTGCTTAAATGCTCTTAAAGCCGGCTTGTGAACAGCTGACTTTAATTCAATCAGATATTAGTTCAAGTGATATAGCGTTGTATCTGTAATTGTTATTAAATGTAACTTTTATACAGTAGGGATATCCAAAAAAGGTTAAGAATAATTAATCAAGAGTGTGTACATTGGATACTCTAATTAAGCTAACAGGATTAAACATATCTCATTCTAAAGTTTTCAGCTCTGGATCTGGATCTGAATTCTTTTCTGGATTTTGGTCATGAACAAACTATTAACTTGGCTAAATTTGTATAGGAGCAGGATAGGTTTCCTAAAAAACTTGGTTAAGTAAAAAATGTGTTAACTAATTTATTATATCAAGAAATTAGTGTTGAGTTATTGAAAGATAATGCCATGTAAGAATAATTAGCAAATTGAGTAAAAATGTACTCCATAAAGAAAATAAAAAAAAATTAAGAAGAGAAGTCCGAGTAGTCAATACCATTTAATTAAGAAAAAGATTGGATTGGCTGGAGGAAGATTTGCCTCATCATGGTTTCATGTCTTTAAAGTGGTTAGCTCACAGATGCTCAGAATTGGAGGCCAGTTAAATAGAAGAGGTAAGATATGTATTTATAACTTAATTGTAATTTGGGACTGCATTGGTATAAGTACAGGTTAGTGCTAGGGTTTCGGGGAAATATGAAACAATTTTCGTTCACACTCATTTATCTATTACTATTACTAGTAGAAATAATTATAATATTAATATAATCTTCTACCTTAGGTCAAGTGCAGCTCCCCACTATTACCAATTCATAACTCAGACTATTAGCATAACATAGCCTGACATACATATTCAACTCTGAATAGCTAGTTATATATATCTATCTTAGCATAGATAGACAAGGATATATAATCCTGCATAGCTAAATACAATCTATAGCTCCTCAAATAAATATCTAGCTCTACATCAACAGACTAGAATATATAGTTCTACATAGCTAAACATCATACATAGGTCTGCAACGCTAGATGAGATAAATAGCTCTGTAAAGCTAAGCCGGATAAATAGCGCTGTAAAGCTAAGCAGGATAAATAGCTCCGTAAAGCTAAGCCGGCTCCTTGGCCCTGCAAAGCTAGATGAGACAAATAGCTTTGTAAAGCTATTTGTATAAAGATGATCCTTAGCTCCGCTAAGCAAAATTAAATAGCTTTATATAATTAAGCAAGACAAATAGCTTAATAAAGCTATTTATAAAGATAACTGATTCTAGATTGTTAATAATTATATCAATAGCAAAGTAACTAAAATACCATAAAAGTTGCTAAAGCTTTATTATAAATAACAACGGATTAGAGTTTGTGGCATTGTTTATCTCTGATCTCAAGTGAGATAATCAATGCACGCCAGATAAAGTTAATAGCTCCGCAAAGTCAATAGCTCCGAAAAGCTAGATAAGATAGCTCTGTAACACTAAGCAAGACCAATAGCTTAGTATACAAAGATAAATAATTCTTGATTGATTATAAGTATATTAATAGTTAAGTAATTAACAATACCACAAAGGGTTAATAAAAGCTATAATAGAGATTACGACCACCCTACTCCCAGGGGGGGTGGTGACCATTAAAACCATGGGGCTGTAGTTTGGGTCCTGCCTGCTGATGATGTGTCTGAGAGACCTGTAGATGAAGGAGGGAATGATCTGGATAGGAGAGGGCCAGAAGGAGGTGACCCCCAGACGGAGGATCCTATTGTAGATTCCCCTGACCCAGAAGATAAGCCTGAGGATGCAGACGAGGACGACCTCCTGTGGATGAGACTTGGCCTCAAACCAGGCGGAGGCCGGATAGGTGTAGTTATAAGTAACTGGAAAAGGATCAAGGGTCAGATAGATGTTGCCTGGCAGAGCCTACATCAATTAATTGTAGTTGCATCTCAGGTGCATAGGAGGATATCTAAGGAGGAACTCTATTGGAGGATGAAGGTGGAACTGTTGACCACATGTCCTTGCTGATGCTGAGAAGGGCGGAGCTCCTGATGTCGTTTGGGACCGAGGTGGATCCGAAAGCTGAATATTAATCTCCTAAATATAAATATACTATTAGTACAATTATTGAATTAATAAATATGAACTAAGAGAGTTAATTCTTGCGTTTAAAATTCTGCTATAGACCAAATAAAACTCAGGGTTTACAACAATTAGTAAAGAAACATATTAAGAGTTCAGAGACGATTGTTTGTCCAAACCTGAGGGAATATGCCTGACGTGTAAGAAAAACCTTTATAACTTGGAGAAATTCAACCAACTATCAGCAGAAACTCTGAATAACTGGACCATTACTCAGGAGAGGTTTAATCTTATGCCAAGGTTTAAAGGAGATGATAGTGAACCTTGTAAATGCCCTATTTGTATATTAGTCAGTGATAGAAGAATGAATCTTAATATTCAAGATTTACGAGAATTATTTCTTCCAGAAGAAAAACATGATCTCAGTCCCTCTAAACTATGTGGAAAATGTTTTCAAGAAGTGGGCCCAGGTATCCGAGATCCCTGTTCTAAAGAAGATTTGGTGAGCAACCTGAAGAACTTGTTATTCCACAGCAATCAGAAATGGGAGAATAGGATATTTTTAAATCTCTTAAAGTACTGAAGAACAATGATGAGCAGACTATTAAGCTTGCAACAATAACAGGAAAGCCAATAAGTCTGAACTTTGAAAAGCGTTCAGAAAAAAAGATGATCAAAACGGAGACTCTCTTTAATCTAAAAAGAAAGCATGATCTACCACAAGTTGTAATTGACTCCATAGCTTCAAGTTGTAGCAGTGACTTGGGTAGATCAGCTCTCCAATCAATCTCTCCTGAAAATATTATTTCAATGTCAACTTCTCTTGATTTGTTTTACAAAACGGAGAAAATGTTATGAAAGCTATTGTAAGAAAAGGTATAGATGGGGGAAAGGGATCACCAAAGTTAATTATGAGTCTGTTTGATCCAGATGAACTATATTCTGGAGTAAATAAAGTAGTTGTTCTTGGATTGGTCGAAGGAGGTTCAGAAAATCATCACAACATGTATGTACTCTATAACAAAACTGATCTAAATAGTTTGAAATGCTACCTAGCTTGCGATTTGAAATTACTTAATACCATTCTTGGTTTGTCTGCCCATGGGGTAATGTACAGTTGTTTGTATTGTGAGGGGAAGCTTAATGAGAGAGGAGAATTAAGAACATTTGATGGTCTTTGAGAGAATTATTGTTCTTGTATAGATGCAGGATGAAGGAAAAGAACATGAAGGATCACAAGAATGTTATAAATCCTGTTCTGTTGAATGAACCTGATGAAAAACTGGTTTTGGAAGTTGTTCCTGTCCCTGAACTTCATTTGCTAATGAATATTGTAACCAACACTGTAAATATCATGAAAGTTCAGCCATCTCTTCAAACTTGGTTTACTGAGAACGGGATTTTTTGGCATGGTTACAATGGTGCAGGTTTAGACGGAAAAAATAGTTTCAAGCTTTTGAAGACATTGAATGAATTAGATGAATATATAAAACATGATTTTCAAGAATTCCAACCTCTCCTGCTTTTACTGAAAAAGGTTTTCAGCAGGTAAAGTTTATAAATCATTTTATGAATAATTGTGTAAATATGCTTCAGAAGGAATTGAGCCTTTGCCACAAACTGAAATTTTCTATTCCCTATATCTTTGCATACTAATTATGTAAACCTTTGATATTTCAAATTTAGATTATTTCATCAAACAGAATTTGAAGTAAATCTAATGTTTAAGATATTGGGTTGCAAAGATTTAAAGATTAGAAAATCAGAGTTATCTAGAATTTAAATTATTAAACACTGGCAAAAAATATATACTTCCTTTAATGTTTAAATTAAGTAATTTAAAATTATTTATTTACAGATTAGAAATGCAAGATAGCAAATATTATTTAAATTAAAAATTATTCAGTTGTTGAGGTTTATTTTAGAATGAACCTCTCTCCAACCTCATCAACTAGCATAAGCAAATTTATAGAAAAAATTCAGGAAATACTCTTGGAAATAATTTTATTACAGTGTAAATTTGTTTTAAATAGAAGTTTCCGTAAGATCTAAATTTTAACATTGATAACCAAAGCAAAAACAAGGTTGTGAAGGAATATGTGAAGGAAAAGTTTAAGTTGAATCTCTCATTTGGATGGACAGGCCACATCATATAATTTCATTAAGAAGAGTTCCTAAACAAGATTCAGATCAGAGAGTGTTCACACGAACCTAAAGAAAACGTTATCTAGGTTTTGTGTTTCCGAAACTCACACGACTCATGGCGCCAAACTGCACAAATCTGTTGTAACTTATTCCAGTATGCGAGTCTGATTCCTTAGATAGTTACATTAAGATGTTATTTATTATATTTCAATATATTTGTCTGGAAGAAATAAAATCATGCATTTCTCTATATTTATGTATCTTTTAAGGATGCTTTGTCAAATTAATATGAAATAAATATTTTTATTTTTTTTTGGAATGGGCTACAGTGTGAAGTAAATAATATCTTGAACTGAAACTATAAAACTTAAAATCAATTCATCCCATCAAGTTGGTTAGGAAAAGATTTAGTAATGATAAAATATCAATTACCTAATTTCTGTAAAAATGGAATGCTTTTTAAGAAAATATTTCAAAGTGTATTTCTAGATAATCTTGACATATATTTTACAACATGGTGCATTTAATTTTTTTCTTAATACTTTTCACAGTAAACAGCATAGCTTGTCTCTAAATACATAATAACGGCATTTTTTATAATTCAACTGTTAATACTTTGTAGGAGAGAATGGAAGAAGATGAGGAGATGGGAGCGGAGGAAGAGATACCGGAGATACAGACAGTGCAAGAATGGACAGGAGCTGAGGAAGTCACAGACGCTGGGAAAGACACAGATGCTGAGGAAGACAGGGACGCTGAGGAAGAGACTGGAACTGAGCAAGAGACTGGAGCTGAGGAAGAGACAGAAGCAAAGGATGAAGGGATGGGAACGGAGGAGGAGACCTAAGCGAAGGAAGAGACCGAAGTGAAGGAAGGGTGACATGGAAACGCCTCAACACGGAAACGACTCAACACGGAAACGGATCAAAAATTATTTCCGTTTTTTTTTAGAAATTCAAGGAAATCCCTCAAAAGTTCAGAATTGTTGAGGGATTTCCGAATATTTTGTATCCGTTTCCCAATATTTAGAGTTGAATGGTTTCCTTTTTTTTTTGATCAATTTCCTCATATTTTTAGGTCTGTTTCCTCATATTTTTGAT